TTTGCACTGTATACCATCCCCATTGTCTTTGATTTCATGTAAAATTGCTGGAGATCTATATTTAGACATAAAGTTAAAAAAAAAGAACATACTACATACATACATATTTTATACGGGTAAAGAACTGTGATTAAATAATGGCAAGATTGCTCTTCATGTATTCAATAGATCAATTAAATTATCTACTCTCTAAATAAATTACAGTCAATTTCAATCTGTTAATAGAATTTAAAACTGAATGCTGACATTTAAAATATCTTCATGTGGAAAGACCACAGGCACAGACTTAAATTTGAAATTGAAAATACAGGCAAAATTATTGCACATACTTTATTTTTTTTTAATTTGTTATGTTGTGTCACATGCTATAAATATAAAGTGTTAGGGAACATAAGAAAATACCTGTACCAATTCAGGAATATGACACTTGTTATCCATTGGTTTGATGTGTTTGAGCTTTTGATTTTGCCATTTGATTAGGGACTTTCCTTTTTGAATTTTCCTTAGAGTTTAGTATTTTTGTGATTTTACTATTTTTATTTTTTATATAGTACCTGAAAAAGAATGCAAGCTAAAACTCTGATACTGATATGAAAGGGCATATCAAAATACACCCTGTCATATCTGCATTTTCATTGTTTTTAATTAACAGGTTGGTGACAACCTGCCAAATTGTAATGGGGATTAACTAATACACAACCTTACTCCTTTTAAGGTAAGGTTGTGGAAGTTAATCAGGTTGGGGAAACTGGCAAAATAGGGAATTATTCTGTTTCACATTCAATTTTACTATATGTTTCCATAATCATCCGGAACAAATCGCACTGGACCGATTTCTTACATCACCGTTTTTATTGTACTACGGGACTACTTTTAATTTCTGTGACACCGTCTGCTCCAAAATTTAACACATGTAATATGGACGACACTTAATTATTTTCTGAGGAAATCGAGACATACCACTGTCAAGTACGTTTTATTCATTTATAAACTGTGATAATTTAATCTGTTTTACTCCGTTAATTTGGATAAATGATTTATTAAATGCATACGAACTGTAAGTTATTCATATCCGAGATTTGAACTGTAAATTCTACTTTCGTTTTCATTTCATTGTTTTAAACATTTGCATTTAAACTTAGTATGTTCTTTCATACACATTGTAAGTATTTCCTTTTGTTTTATTGCAGTTTACCAAACAATACTGACTACTGTATCAACCTTTCTGGTGGAATATCATATTACAATTTTCAAAACAAGTTGTGTTCTTTATATATTCGCCGAGATTGCGATTCAGTCACCTGGTTAAACTAGCTGAGTCAGGCTCAGCATAGTAAATTGACAACAACTTGTCTACACATCTCCTGAACAGGAAATACAACGGAGCATCGTTCGTAGCTGTTACCTTGACACTACGCAACACAGCTTGTGTGTCCTAGGCAGCAAACCAACAACGTTGAACAAACATTGCCTACAGTTAGTTGATTTACATCATGGATCCCAGCCACGCGGAACAGCAAGACGAGATTCAAAATCCAGAGGGATACGTCTCTAAAGAACAAATAGAGAATCCGTCTACTACAACACCTTTAGATGAAGATGCCGAGACTAGGCGAGTACGTGAACTCACAGAAAAGGGACAAGGAGCTTTCACAGAAAAACGTGACAAGTTCTGTCAGGAACAATAGGCTCTCTGGACAGACATCGAATCCCAGTTATTGGAAGTCACCACGCCTCCTAACGAGCTCCAGCAACTCCTAACAGCCCAGGACAAACTTGTTAAAGCCTGTAATAATTATCGTAGGCTCACAGATGAACTCCTGGACTTTCTGAAAAGGACCAGAACATCGGAGAGTCAAAAAGAAATAGAAGCATGTAATCTCTCATTGGATTTTCGTCTATCCAAAGTGGAACTGGTTATGGAAAAACTACACGAGCATCGCCTCGCCCTAACAAAGGCCAAATCCACTAAAACAAAGACCTCAAAGGGTAAGAAAACCTCACACAGCGGTAGCTCTAACGTGTCAGACATGTCAAGCCTAGCACGGAGAAAGCGTGCCAAGGCAGAGGCTGCCAAGTCTAAAATAGCCTTTGTCGAAAAACATGCCCTTATCCTACAACAGGAGGCAATGTTAGAGGAACAAGCCCTGTTTAGACAAACTGAAATGGAACAGGAAGCAGCACGCAAAAAGGCCGAAATGGAGCAAGAAGCTGCACGCAAAAAGGCTGAAATGGAACAGGAAGCCACACGTAAAAAGGCAGAAATGGAGCAAGAAGTCGCTCAACGTAAAGTTCAGCTAGAAGAGGAGGCCGCTCACAGAAAAGTGCAATTAGAACAAGAGGCCATGCGCAGCAAGGCCCAAATTAAACAGGAGGCACTGAACTTGCCGTCACAGACATCTGCTGTCTTGCCTTCCGATACCAAGTCACCGGAAGTTACCTTAATCCCAGATCTGGGAATAGTAACCGGCATACAAAAACTAGGCCTTTCAGAGGAGATCCCTGCTGAACACCAGACACAGGGTGTTAAAGAAGAGATCCCCGCTACACACCTGCAACCAATTAATCCTACATCAGAGATAACTAGATTTCTTCTACGAAAGGACCTACTATTCTCCCGGTTAACAAGCTTTAATGACCGGGCAGAATCCTTCCATACATGGAAAGCAAGCTTTAAAAACGTGACAGACGAGCTACAAGTTTCTAACTCGGAACAGATTGATCTACTGATCAAGTGGCTCGGTCCAGAGTCTGCTAAACATGCCATTAGCATACGAGCGTCGAATGCCAATAATCCTACAAAAGGCATACAAAGGTTATGGCAGAGACTGGATGAGCGATATGGTGCTCCAGAAATGTTGGAGGCCTCTCTCACAAGTAAACTCGTCAACTTCCCTACCTTGACGAACAAAGATAACGCACGTCTTTATGACTTGTCCGATATTCTATCAGAAATAGAGTATCACAAAGAAAATCCCAAGCTGGGATGTTTGCTAGCATATTTTGACTCTTCGTCCGGGATAAATCCTATTGTTGAAAAATTACCATACGGACTCCAAGAAAAGTGGATAACAAGGGCTACAAGATACAAGTCTAAATATGAAGTTGCCTTTCCACCTTTCACAGAATTCTCTGCCTTCATCAGGGAAATAAGCAAATCAAAGAATGATCCTGGGTTCATCTTTGGGTCAAAAGCCACACCAAATACAAAAGGTGCTGCGCCAAGGTTCACGTCTCACCCCAAGACTAAAGTTGGTGCTCATAAAACAGCGGTTGAGCAGCAATCTAGAGACGCCAGCATACAAGGTCTTTGTATTCTGCACAATACAAAGCATTCCTTAAATGAATGTCGAGCGTTCCGAGCCAAGTCAATAGAGGAACGCAAAGGACTTTTGAAACAAAACAATGTCTGTTATAAGTGTTGCGATTCCACCACACACAGAAGCCGGGAATGTAATGCACGCATAAGTTGTAAAGAATGTGGAAGTAAACAACACACTACCGCACTTCATATTACTAGACCACAGCAACCTACAAGTTCTCAGTCTAGCTCGCCCAAGCAAGCCTATGGCGGGGAGCCTACAGAATCGGCTGAAACTAAGTCAACCTCAGTAAACTCTACCTGTACTGAGATCTGCAAGGATACATATAGCGGGAAATCTTGTGCTAAAATACTACCTGTAAATATTTATCACAAGGATAAACAGGACAACGTTATCCGGATGTACGCCATCATTGATGACCAAAGCAACCGGTCACTAGCATCGCCCGAATTCTTCAATCTTTTCGACGTAAAAGATAAACCGGAGAACTATACCTTATCAACATGCTCCGGCAGAGTAGTCACTTCCGGAAAAAGGGGAAGAGGTTTTGTCATGGAATCAATAAATGGTAATGACAAATTTGACCTGCCGGTACTGATAGAATGTGATCATATTCCCAACAATAGGGACGAAATACCTACTCCTGAAGTCACAATGCATCACCCTCATTTAAAAGAACTTAGAGGAAGCATTCCACCAATAGAGGAACACTGCCAAATTCTTCTCTTAATTGGCAGAGACCTTATAGAGGCACACCACATTCTTGACCAGCGCATAGGACCACCCAGAACTTCATATGCACAGCAGTTAAAACTGGGTTGGGTAGTGATAGGAGAGACTTGCATTAACAAGCAGCACGTACCTCTTGAATTAAACGTCAAATTCACCAACATTTTACCTACAGGACAACCGTCAACATTTCAACCATGCACAAGCAAGTTTGACATCCGGGAAAATTACACAGACCCTGTAAAGAAAGATTTACAATCGCCACTCTTTGAAAAAACAAGGGACGATGATAAGCCTGGAATGTCATATGAAGACAAAATGTTCATGAAGCAGATGGACAACGAATTTGTGAGGGACTCGGAAGGAAGTTGGGTAGCACCGTTACCGTTCCGAGTGCCAAGACAGCCATTGCCAAGCAACAGACCACAAGCTCTTCATCGTGCTAATATGTTAGACGCCAGTCTGAATAGAAACCCAGTTAAGCGGGAACACTTTCTTACATTTATGAGTAAGATCCTAGACAATAATCATGCAGAGCTCGCTCCACTGTTAGATGCCCATGAAGAGTGCTGGTATTTACCACTGTTTGGTGTCTATCACCCAAAGAAACCCGATCAGATTAGGGGTGTGTTTGATTCTTCCGCAAAATGTAACGGAGTCTCGCTTAACAGCGTCCTGCTAACAGGTCCCGACTTGACCAATGATCTTTTAGGAGTATTGCTGCGTTTCAGGAAAGAAATGGTCGCAGTAACTGCAGACGTCCAACACATGTTTCACTGTTTTGTAGTCAGAAAAGACCACCGAAATTATCTGAGATTTTTATGGCATAAAGACAACGACCTGCACGAGAACCTTGTCGAATACCGCATGAGAGTTCATGTTTTCGGAAATAGTCCGTCACCTGCCGTTGCTACGCTTGGTCTCAGAAAAGCGGCTCAGACTCAGAACAAGAGTTTGGCAGTCACGTGACTAGCTTTGTTACAAGAAATTTCTATGTCGACGACGGTCTTACGTCTTGTCCTACAAAGGAGGAAGCTGTTAAGCTCATGAAGGACACACAGCAAGCATTAGCAAAATATGGAAACTTAAGGCTTCACAAGTTCGCCTCTAATTGTGCGGAAGTTATGTCTGCATTTCAAGCCAGTGATTTGGCTTCAAATCTTAAGGATCTAGACTTAGATGTCGACAGCAAACCCCTGCAACGTAGTCTTGGACTCAGCTGGGACGTAAACACTGACAACTTCTTATTTCAATTGTCATCAGAAAATAAACCGATCACTCGGAGAGGGATTTTATCAACGATAAACAGCATCTACGATCCTCTTGGATTTTTAGCTCCTGTGATTTTACAAGGAAAGCTCCTACTAAGGAAGATAGTATCAGAAACCGTCGATTGGGATCAACCTCTCTCTGATGAGACAGCAATTGAATGGAAATCTTGGAGAGATACTTTAATAGCTATTGAAACATTGCGCATTCCACGTACCTACGTACAGTATCTCAGCAAAACCGTCACAAAGGAGTTACATGTCTTCTCTGATGCGTCAGAAAAAGCCATAGCAGCTGTTGCTTATCTACGCACGACCGACAGTGGTGGTGAACCAAACATGGGGTTCATTCTTGGGAAAGCAAAAGTTGCACCTACAAGTGGTCACACTATTCCTCGACTTGAACTATCTGCTGCCGTGTTAGCAGTTGAGATCACACAAACCATCGTGGATAATTTAGATTTACACATAGACACCGTGAAATTCTACACAGACAGTAAAGTGGTCTTAGGTTACATCAGTAACGAGACAAGAAGGTTCTTTATCTACGTCGCCAATAGAGTAGAGAAAATAAGTAAATTTAGCTCTCCAAGTCAATGGAATTATGTACCAACGAATCGTAATCCCGCAGACTCGGGAACAAGGTCCGTACCAGCCCACGAAATTCATAGTAGTGAGTGGTTATTGGGACCGAGACAACTTCTTTCCTCAGAACAGGAGGAGAATTCCGAGGACATATATCAACTAATAGATCCAGAGGAAGATGGAGAAATCCGCGCAACTGTTAATATTGCAAAGACTTTTGCCACAACTGAGCGTAAAGGTATCGGAACTGGAAGATTCAACCGATTCTCCAACTGGACATCACTTGTTCGAGCAATAGCCTTTTTGGAACGTTTCTCCCGTTTACACGGGTCAAAACAGGCAGAATCGGTGACCTCTCTTGAAAGCTTTTCAAATGCCGAAAACTTCATTTTAATGTCCGCTCAGCACGAAGTTTACGGAGAAGAAATAGATAACATTCGACGCAAGGAACAAATTCATATACGAAGCCCGATAGCTAACCTCAATCCGTTTTTGGACAAAAGAGGACTATTACGAGTAGGAGGCCGTATTGTCAAATCTGACTTAAACCTCCGTGAAAAGAAACCTTTGATCGTCCCTGGACGCCATCATATAGCGACATTATTAGTCCGACACTACCATGACAAGATAAAACATCAAGGACGCCACTTCACAGATGGAGCGATTCGATCCGCAGGATTCTGGATCGTCGGAGCAAAACGCTTGATCTCTTCTATTATTCACAAATGTGTGACATGCCGCAAACTCAGAGGAAAAACTGAGTATCAAATCATGTCTGATTTGCCAGAGGACCGTCTTGAACCATCACCTCCGTTCACTAACGTTGGAATCGACACCTTTGGACCATGGACAATTGTTTCACATAAAACCTGTGGTGGATACGCCAACTCCAAACGTTGGGCAATTTTATTCACCTGCTTAGTGACGAGAGCTGTTCATATCGAACTCATCGAGGAAATGAGCTCTTCAGCCTTTATAAACGCTGTCAGAAGATTCACAGCCATTAGAGGCCAAGTCAAGATCTTTCGATCCGACCGTGGAACTAACTTTATTGGCGCAATCGACGACTTGAAAATCGATTCAGTCAACGTTGAGGACGGACCCCTTAAGAACTTTCTGTACAATTCCGGTACAACTTGGATCTTCAATCCGCCGCATTCGTCCCACATGGGTGGAGCCTGGGAGAGAATGATTGGTATCGTTAGGAGAATACTTGATTATATGCTTTTAAATGCTGCCGGAAGGAGCCTAACGCATGACGTGCTCAATACGTAAATGGCAGAAGTTTCAGCAATAGTGAACTCTAGACCTCTGGTACCGGTATCGACAGATCCAGAGAATCCGTTAATCTTAACACCAGCTATGTTATTGACACAAAAGACCGATTACATCTTCACTTCAAATCAGCTTGGAGAATTCGACAAACGGGATCTATGTCTAGCCGAATGGAGACGTGTACAGGCTCTGGCCAGTGTTTTCTGGTCCCGTTGGAGGAAAGAGTACCTACCGCTACTACAACCACGACGAAAATGGACCGAAGATCGCCGTGATCTCATCAAAGGAGACGTCATTCTCCTAAAGGATAAAAAACTCTACCGTACTCAATGGCCCATCGGAGTTATAGTAAACTCATTTAAAAGTTCCGACGAACATGTCCGGAAAGCAGAAGTACGAATCATCGTAAATGGAAAAGCCACCATCTACACACGACCAATAGTGGACATGATTCTTCTCGTAGAGAACGACTGTATATAGTTTGTATCAATCATGTTAATAGTGATACTTTGGATTTATATAGTGAGATCTTCAAGTGTGTTATATATTTGGAATAGTGATATCAGTTAGACATCAGACGGGGAGTATTCTGTTTCACATTCAATTTTACTATATGTTTCCATAATCATCCGGAACAAATCGCACTGGACCGATTTCTTACATCACCGTTTTTATTGTACTACGGGACTACTTTTAATTTCTGTGACACCGTCTGCTCCAAAATTTAACACATGTAACATGGACGACACTTAATTATTTTCTGAGGAAATCGAGACATACCACTGTCAAGTACGTTTTATTCATTTATAAACTGTGATAATTTAATCTGTTTTACTCCGTTAATTTGGATAAATGATTTATTAAATGCATACGAACTGTAAGTTATTTATATCCGAGATTTGAACTGTAAATTCTACTTTCGTTTTCATTTCATTGTTTTAAACATTTGCATTTAAACTTAGTATGTTCTTTCATACACATTGTAAGTATTTCCTTTTGTTTTATTGCAGTTTACCAAACAATACTGACTACTGTATCAACCTTTCTGGTGGAATATCATATTACAATTTTCAAAACAAGTTGTGTTCTTTATATATTCGCCGAGATTGCGATTCAGTCACCTGGTTAAACTAGCTGAGTCAGGCTCAGCATAGGAATTGTTCCCCAAATGAGTACCAATCGCTCATTTGAGTAATTATTTGGTAACTAGCTAAAAAAACTATTTTTTTTCTTTTCTTAATATGACACAAATTCATTTAAGGAATGACTGTAATATTTTTTCTGTCTATGAAGAAATAACATCAAAAATGTGGTGCACCTTTAATAACCCGCGTAGCGGGTTATTTCAAAGTGTGCACCACATTTTTTATGTTATTTCGAATAGACAGAAAAATATTACTGTCATTTCTTATAATGTAATTCTAAATTTCATTTTAAACTGGAGTAAACCATGAAAAAACGTTGATGACGTCACGGACACATGACAAAATTTTGTCTATGAGCTGATAAACAAAACAACGTCAGCCAATCAGAAGACGCGTAACATCCAAAATTAAATTATAAAAAATGCGGCAAATTTTCCAAAAGATGAATAGAGTCAATAGACCTATCTTGATATACTGAGAAGATACAAGCCTATGAACACTTTTAAAAATTGACAATTTTCAAGGCTAAAAGCTTTTAAATTTCTCATATTATATATAAATATAGTTCTTTAGAAGCATTTAAATTTGTTCCATTTTCTTTAAATTTGTGCCATTTTAGGTAAAAAGACTCATTTAAAGAAAATTTTTAGCACTATCAAATAATTACTCAAATGAGGGATTGTTACTCATTTGAGGAATAGTTCCTGATTTGGTGGTTGTCCCCAACCTGATTATTATAACTTACACAACATTACCGTAAAAATAACAGGGGAGAGGTTTGATATTTCCAAAGTTCAGTTAATCCCAAGACATTTTTTTTAGGTATCTGTCCCAAAACATGATATGGTTTCATTTGACTATGTATATAATTTTGTTTTGTGTCTTTTGTCTTGTCTCTTTTTTTTTATGGTTTTCACTTTTGTACCTTTGTTACTGTTACTGTTACTGTTAGTATAAGACTTTTAAGAACTCACTTTTAAACATTACTTCTACTTTGTAGTGACCGCCTTCAACACGTTGAAGTTTATGTCACTTGTACTGCACATTGCTTTGTGGAGACGTATGTTCAGTGAAAAATTTAACAGTTTTTATAGTTGAAAACAAAAAAAATTAATAACATTTTTACATAGTGGTAGGTCCGTGTATATTTGCGTCCATTCGTTTTTCATTTTGAAATATCAAAAACAAAAAACAAGAGTGTTTTCATTTTTCGTTTTTGATTTCTCAAAAACCAAAACGAAAAACGAAAGTGTTTTCATTTTTCGTTTTTGGTTTTGACAGCTAGTTTAAAGCCAATAACAACTAATACAAAAATCATGTATCTAAGACTAAAATATCAATCAGTGCACATCCAACATCCAATGGATTTAGTAGATGGATAGACGTCATTAACAGTCAGAGAAAGACATGACCTTGTGCAATGCCAAATCATAGGTATCAACAGATTGTAGTACCTTGATGTGTATAACAATAATATTTAGTATAAATTTAAGTTACTGATAACAAAATTAATATTTATACCAATAAAAACAATATTCAAAGATCTATTTACAGTGTTCAATTGGTAACCTTTTAAAATAAGTTTATTTAAAGGATTGATTAGTTTACCCTGATCGTTTTTAATTTACATGCATACAATTTCTATTTATATTATTATTGATAAATACAATATTGCAGTGAGGGAGGTTGTTTGTGACTTCAGGGAACTTTATTTGGATATGCCTGTTATGGTCTAATTGAGATTTACAAGACCTTCATTCAATTTCAGCACATTTTGTGAATGTATGTCCCATTTATAAGCATTATGTTTTTCGGTCTGTGCGTCCGTTTGTTCGTCCGTTCATCCGTCTGTTCCGCTTCAGGTTAATGTTTTTGGTCAAAGTAGTTTTTGATGAAGTTGAAGTCCAATCAACTTGAAACTCAGTACACATGTTCCATATGATATGATCTTTCTAATTTATATGCCAAATTAGAGTTCTGACCGCAATATACGGTCAACTGGACATAGAAAATGATAGTGCGAGTGGGGCATTCATATACTATGGACACATTCTTGTTCAAATCCTTTATTAAAGAAGTTAGTAAATTTACTTCAGATAAAAAAATACTAAATTAGACGAACCAATCTAATTAAAATATATATCTCTGTTTTCGTTATACTTATATAACTTTTTTGTATGAATTTTAATAAGATTACTGGACAAACGCCTTCAATCTTCGGACTTAATTCTTAACAATTTTACCGAGCGGAGCGAGGCGAAAAAAAATAACGTATTTCAAGCCAAATCTTATATGTATGCTATACACACAAATTTATTGTTTAAACTTGGTAATCAATTGATTTAAAATACAGTCCTAGATAATTAAATAATCATGAAATATTTGGTCTAGTAATCAAATAATCACTAAAAAAAACGGCCAAGTAATCACATAATCAAAAACTCCATAAGGAATTATTAAAGATGACATATTTTTGTATTAATATTGATTCACTTATAAGGTCTTTGCATCGGAAATAAACTATAATTAATTCTAAAACCAGTTGTTGGCATAATACGGGTCATTTTCTTCACATTGACATAATTTACTAAACGTTTATTGAAACCTGTAATGTGAAGACGTGAATGAAAATGCGGAGTTTGTGAGACCAGGTTCAAGCAAGCAGCCACTCGCTAGCAGCCACTTCGCTAGCAGCCAGTTTTCAGATGTTTATATAAACCCAAATGTTGCATAAGATTCAAACGTACTTCAAATGTTTTAATTAATATATAACCACTATATTATCAGTTTTTAATGTATAATTAAGCAGTCAAAGACACTTTTAAATGAATTTCAAAATTTCATTTCTTGTTCATTAATTATATAAATACAATAGAAATCGCTTTCAATACATCACACAGCGTGCTGCACGCTTTACATGTCAAATAGTCAACACTTTTGAGTGTATATAGAATCGTAAATAATTATGAAATTATTTAAATGTTGGCAAAACTGCACTATTGTGTGAAATAGCTTTCCATATTCTCGGCATCCTGTCAAACAGTTCATGAAAAGTAACAACTGTTCTGCATTAGAAGAAAAACAGTTGCACTCGTGCTTTAACTTTTTTTTTGCCACACAAAAATGTTTTGACAAAACATTCTACTTCTGAAACAGTGAATTTCGCTTACTTATGATTAGACGAAAGGTTTATTTTATGTACTCAAAGTATGGTGGGCAAGGAAATTATTTATTAGCTTTAAAAAATAATCCGTACTGTACCCAAACTGGGAATTTTGATCAAGTAGGCGCTAGGTCTCTAGCTTACGTTTGCACCTAGTGCGGAAACAAGTATTGCCATATAATTTTGGTTTATTAACTTTTCGGTAAGGGTTGGGTAGGGTATCTGACCTCAACTTTGGACCTACTGTAGACCTCAGCTACTAAGCTTCCCTTTGTCTTAGTGCGGACAAAAGTATTGCCTTAGAATTTGTTTTTATTAAATTTTCGGTAAGGGTGGGGTTGGGTGTCCGCGGACCCCAACTTTGGACCTACTTAAAAAAATAAACTAAGACGAATAACACCCTGGATTTGTTTCTCCAGTAGACCTCAGCTACCCAACTTCCCTTTGCACCTAGTATTGCCGTAGATTTTTTATATTAAATTTTCGGTAATGGTGTGGTAGGGTAGGTAGCTGAGGTCCACTTTAGAAAAAAATCCAAAGTGATGTTCGGCATAGTCTTTTTTTATAATGTAATAAGCTGGCAAATTATAAAAGCTCGTGTCTTAATTGATAGGCATAGAAATAAAAAGAAAACGTAAGATAACCAATAACAATCTACCGGAGACAAAATAACGTTGGTTTAAAGGCAACTAGGATGATGGTCTGGATACGGGGTTCTTCATTTCTGTATTCTTTGATATTCTATGCCGATTTTCTCTATTCTTTAATCAGTGTTTGAGGCCATTTTTCTCTATTCTTTATTTCTTTATACTTTTTGCCAATTATTCTGTTCTCTTTATATTTTAACACCTCATTATTCTATTTTTTTTTTTTTTTTTTTTTTTTATTTCTTGGTCCATTGTCTCTTCATTCATATTTCTTTCCCTATATTCTCTATTCCGTAAACCCCCATCCACACCAAGGCTCTAGTTAAGGTCACCATATAGCTTTCAAAAATAAGCAAAACTAATACCGAGTAGGCTCCGAATGGCAAAATGATTGAATGCTAATACCGGTTTGAATTGTGAAATAGCGGAAATTTGTTTTTCAATCAATTGATCAAGCAAAACACATTATCGTCCTGAATGTTCGTATAATGGACCTTGGTCATGAATTCTAATCATCTTAGATCAACCTTTCTAAATTTAAAGATCACGCACCCTTATTGTTCAGATTGTTAAAGTCTTTTGCATCCGTCGACATTATCTTCGATTAAAGATCTGATAACCACAGTGACTGTGCATGTATACTTTAATGACCGGGGTAGTTTTCTTATAAGTTTTAAAAAGTAGTAACCTCCCTTGTTAATGTGATGTTGTAATCAATCTTTTTATTTGGACCATCTTTATATAATATTGTATTGTACAATTTAAATTTATGATTCGTTTAATATCTAAATATTATAATTTATTTTTTTATTAAAGATATAAACAAGGTAATTTGAAAGGCTTTGATTCATTTATCACCGTAGTTCAATTCATTAGTCAGGCGGTCTATTTTGTCTACATTATGTTGAAAGAACAACGGGGTGTTTACATTGGCATTATTTACTATCAATGACTGTGAAACAAGAAAGGAAAACATTGTACATTATAAAACGAGAAATAATTAAAATTAAATACAAAATTCTTGTTTAGTGAAATCAAAAACGAAAAACGGAAACACTTTTGATTTTCATTTTGGTTTTAGA